TGTTGGGCTGTTATCCGCCGCACGACTTTTTCACGGTAACTCTATCTTTGAAGAAAGCAGACCGGCGGTGGACATGGAAGTTACCCAACGGTACGTTCATGCGGAGATTGACACACTCTCACCAACCGAAGGTGGTGCTTAATAGATGTCGCAGTGATACCAGACGGTTAACATTCTCATTCCAAAGTCCTAATCTAAATTTCCCGATACTATGCTCCCCTTTTTCTGACATCCCACTTTTCGCATTTAGGTCACCCAAAATTCAGTAGTAGTTCAGATCACCGCCTCCTTCGAGCAAAAGTGCGTTTCAGCTGAAAGCTAAAAAAGAGGATCTGTCACCGTATTGGAGGAAGAGAAGTTGTATATGACGGCGTCAGATTGAAGAAGCCCTTGACCACTTGTGACTGGCCCATCGAGGAGGATCCAACGAAGGACTACGATCTGCTTCTCAGAGGACAGAAAGCCTGTGGTGAAAGCGCCTCAATGCCTCGCACAAAGAACTTGGAGCGAATTTCGAAAGCAACCAAGATCTGCTAGAGAGGAGAAGAGCATTGAGGCTGGATCCGACTCATCACATCTCGAGCGACTGGTAGCCAATACCAGTTGCAGAACAGCTTTGCAAGAAAATCTGTACAGTCACTCGAAACTTTTGGAAACAGCACAAGGAAGGAGAAGTTCAAAGAAGTACCACAAAGGCCTCCTCGACTATCGCGTTCCGCTGACAACACTACAAACACGGCACTAGCACATCTTCCCGACAAAAACTGGAATCGTCTGCAAAGTGATTACACCAGTCTCTTTCGCGTCAACACCGGTATCAAACCCCGTTATTCTCATTGGAGAAATATCACCACGCATTCTACCTGCTAAACTACTCTCCGCCTTCCAAACCATGAAGGCAGCCACAGCTTCGGGACGAACCACGCTTCGGCTGATCTCTTACGAGGTGGAGGACGTCGCCTAAACGAATACCTGCTACAGCTACTACTTGGAATATCTAACGTCTTACGGTAGGAAAGAATCCCCAACCAGTGAAGAACCTCCCAGACAATTTTTCTTCATAAGAAGGGCGATGGGGAGGATTTTCGGAACTATCTTCTGATATGCCCGCTAAGCGTGTTATACTAGCTCTTCGCGAAGATTATTCTCGTTTACAAGCATAATGGATGAAGCCCAATCTGACAAACTGGATTTCGCAAGGGATTCAACGCGTAAATTAAATCCAAACGGTTTCCAGCATTATCGAAATTTGCAGAACCGCTTACCTCTCGTCCTATCCTTCCGACATGAGAAAGCGTTTGACAACACGAGACTACTGCTGTCAGCGCTCGTCGACCAAGGAGTGGGAGGGGTTTCGACAAGGCGACCTGGGTCGCCAAAGCTGTTTACCGCCGCCTTGCAGTGAGTGAGGAAATCACTGTTTAACGAGAAAGGTATTTGAGTTGATGGGAGATTCCTGTCGAACCTTTTTTGCGGACGACGTTCTCTTCTCGAGAAATATCAGTGTAGCGGGGGCGATGTTGAAAGAACTAAAAGTAGGGGAGTTGGACTGCGAATTAACCGGAAGAAGACTCAGTGTATGGGGAACGTTGTGGAGATCAGGAAATGAAATTAGAAGGCTTTCCGATTGCGTAAACGTCCTCTTACGTATATCTCGGACTTTCAATGAACATGGAGAACTTGAAAGGAGAACTGAACAAAAGGCGAAGACAGCTTGAACCGCCTTCGGCCCGTTTAAGAAAGCCACAGACCAATGATGGACCCAGAGCTCCGAGCCTACCTGTTCGATTTAACGGTTCTCAGTGCGCTCTGTTACGCAGACGTGCCTTGACACGGCTACGAAGCCCCACAAAAAAATCCATAGAGTGCTGGAACGACGACTAAGTGCAGTCGACGTACTCACCTCGTCGGACGCAGTTCCAATATAGAACAATGTCTTGTTTTAGCGATCCAGCGGAGTACATCTCTCAAGACATCGATGGGCTGGTCATATAACGAGAAGGACAATCGACAGATGAAACTAAGAATTACGAAATGAATTCCTCGCGAAACAAAACGTCCTCGAGGAAGGCCACCGACCAGATGGGCTGATGTGTTCTTTGCGCTGATGACGCTGCATTCTCAGCTGATATAATGAAATTACACCCCCGGATGACGTTAGCAAGAGACAGAAACGGATTGAAGCAATACTGGGGCCTGCACGACGAGTGAAGACAGGCCATCTAAGTAAAGTATCTAACAGGGAAGGGATACTTAGTCGAAGCGACGATCAATAAGCGATGTATACCAGTAGATGCAGTTTCGGACGCTGATTCCAAAGCTGCCTTCCATGTCTGCGAAGCATTTTTCTGGAAGAAGTTATGAGGTTAACACCACGCGTTAGCAACACCTCTACCAAAGAGGACCAATGCTCAGTGCGAAGCAGCAGATAGTGTAGTAGTGTGCGGTTTGTAAGCTGACTATGCAGGTTCGATATCTTTTTACCTTCCAACAGTTTTGCATTTCCTTAAAAAAATTTCTGCGCCAATGAAAATCTATGAATGAGTGACGCATTTTCGCTTGAATGATGGCTTAAACAAGAATTTTAAATGTGAGTGTATTTACTTTCTATAGCAAATAATCCTCCCAAGCATTGTTATGCATAAGTTATTATTAAGCAAAGGAAACACTTCTATGAATATACATGATGCTATTACAAAGTGAAGCATAGATGCTTCTCGCAATGAGAGAGTGAATGAAAGTTACTTCATTGCAACCATTACCTTCGAGTCTACCATCAAACGGAAGGGAAACAAAAGAGAATGGGGATTTCACACGAGCCAACATATTCTTCTACATAGCCTGCCGCATATGTCAATAGGAGAGGAATCTTTTACGGAGAGAGCAAAACTGAGAATAAATGAGCGAAAGGAACTTGAGTATGGATTCTATTATTATTATGATATTATGATATTATTTATTGAGTATGGTGTGATGGAAAACTAATCTCATGGGCATGTACATAGAAATGCTATAGAAAATGAATACGTTCAAATTTTAAAATTTTGTTTAGAATCCTCAATTAAGTGGAAATACGTCATTTATGACGCATGAAAACATATTTAAGAAAATGCAAATGTGTTGAAAGATGAGGGGAATCGAACCTCCACCAATCAGCCTAACAAACCCCACATTTACCACTACACTATCTGCCGCTTCGAGCACTAAACATTGGTTCTTTTTGATAGAGGTGTTGCTAACACGTGATATTTTAATACGCTTATAACTTTTTCCAGAAAAACGCTTTGCAGATATGGAAGACAGATTTGGAATCAGCATCTGAAACTGCATCTACCAGTATACATCGCTTCTTGAATCGTCACTTTGACTAAGTATTTTTCCCTTGTAAGTAATTGGTAATTTCATCACTCACTGCAAGGCGGAGGTAACCAACATTGGCGACATGGTATCGCCTTGTCGACCCCCTTTATTGGTATATTATATGGGCGGGAGAAGCTGTACCACTGTGTAGTAAATCTTATAGTTATCACCAATCTTACAGCAAACGGGCCCACCTCCTGGTCGGCGACGAGATGTAAGAGGTTCTTTCGACAAACTTCAATAATCCTTGAAACCGCATGGACGTGAGACATGCAGTATTCCCTTGGAAATCCAGGTTCCAAGTATGGGGCTCATCCGGTGTCCTTGATATGCGAGTGAGAATATTGGTGAAGGGCTTGTAA